AAAATGACTCTACTTCTCTCTTGATTTATTACCTCAGTAAACATTGTGAACATGAGTTTATGGTCTCAATCTCTAGTTTCAAGTCTTCTTCAATACAGCATGATGTTCATTTAGTACATTATGGTCCATTTAGAGTCAAACAGACCATAAAGCAGGGTATGCTAAGATGGCAACGGCAGTCCCAAACCATTGGGTGACGTCACGATGACTACGTCCACTTCTTAAATACAGTCTATGGTCAGTTCAAGGAACTCTTCCCAACAGGAAGTTGGATCACAGATCTGCGAACAACAACCGTTTAATGTCACAAGAACCCACATTTGGAAATAAATCTCCCACATCTGACAACTTCCTTAGAACCTTTGGCCAAATTAGAAACAGTTTTGTGCAGATATCTGCAACTCTGTGACAACAGATTTGATACATTTGTTAGATTTAGATTCAGGAAGCAACTGCAAAGCCTCCATTTCCTCCTTCACTCGCCAAATAACCAGTGATTCTAGACGTCTGTTTGAGTTGTATGTTTAAATATAGAATGTTTTGATGTACATTGTAGCCAGACAAACTTCCTGTCCAGCAGATCAGCCTGAAGTGTCAGAGGAGGTTTGGACATCTGTCTGTTTCTGAACCGGCCTCGATTCCATCTGCACTCATTTAGCATTCAGCCTTTAGCCTCCAGGCTGTGGAGGGACATGACGAAGGCTGTAGCAGTCATGAACCGTCGCCTCTAAGCCACTCCTGAGAGGACTCCATTACCCAGGATCCCCTGGGAGGAAAGCTGCCTGACCTCTGACCTGATGGAAGCAGAAGTTTTTTTTTTAATACAACTGGTTCAGGTTCAGATGTCCTCTTCCCACAAAATGGCATATTACTCAAAATGTCTTTTTTGATAAAGGATCACACCGATTGTCAAACTACTATTTTTGAGTAAAATGTCTTTTTTGATAATGTGTTTCATGAGCTTTGTAATCTGGTCCAAGACCTGTGATTTAAGAGCAATCGTACCTCAAATGTCTAAGGTAGAAGGTCCCCTCTGACACAGATCTGAGATCAGCTTCCATCCCTGAACATCAAACCAAACTCATAGAAATAACAAAAAAGTCAAATAGTCTTAGAGTTAGCTGTGTCCCTTTTTAAAAACGCTTATTCAGTGTGGTTAGCAGATCCCAGATCAGTAGTCTGGCAGGGAACTTTACCTTGGATACCCACAGCCATGTGTTTGCCGATGGCGCCCCCGTGTGGGTGCATGCTGCGAGTGCATCCTGTGTTTGTGTCCTGTGTCTGCCCCCTTGAGTGTGCCTGATGCCAGCCTGCAGGCCATGTCGTGTATCTCACACAGAACCGAACGCCATTAATGTTTCAGCGCATGGAGCCGCCCTCTGAGGGAGGGGGCACGGACGGCCAGGGGGGTCAGGGCCTCAACGGCCTCCCCAGCACCCAGCCAGACAACCCCAACAGCATGTGAGTAGACCGGGCAGGGGGAGGGGCCATATATGTACACATTCATTCTGTTGCCCCCTGGGTCGGATTGTTGGGGACATCTTGCCTCTAATCTTAACGTGTGAATATCTGACAACAAAGTGAACATGAAGCAAAGATACCAAAATAAATAATAATTAAGATCGGATGTATGTGTGGGCACCAGACCTCCAGAGGGTGGCATGACTGAGAGCCAATCGTGGGTGACGGCCAAAGCGCAGGAAATGTTCCAGAAGACGGGTAACTGGAGCCCCGACAGACCGTACCCCGACGATGTCCACGACAACCGTCACAACCCACAGGTATGATGAGCACCAGAAAACGCTTCACGTCGTCGACGGTTCGACTCCAACCACGGCAGTTATGTTCAACTGTAGAGATTTCTGAGCCCTCTGAGTTTAGCAAATGCAAAAGCAGTCTTTCTACGGAAAAAGAGACAAATTAAAGCCAGTTTTTTTAAACTTGCAATGTGTGAAAATCTGGTCACAGGGGCCGCTTTTCACCTCTACTAATGGGCCCAAACGATCCAAATTTAAAGTCAGCCATCTACTACGATCTAACAGCAGGGCAATAGTACCACTTCTGCCGGGAGGAGAGCGGTTACAGCTCTGGAAGGCGGACCTTCAGTTAACGGTTAGCTGTAGCATTTGGCGTTTATCCGGTGCAGGGGGTCACAGCGGGCTGATGGAGTGCTGGGTCTAACCTGTGTCATGGCAGCAACAGGAAGTCTACTGATCTGGTTTGCTGAGACGTGGTCTCCAGGATAAGACCCCCCTGGTATTGGGGTTTTACGCTGGCTGAATGTGACTTGCTACAGGTAACCGCAGACTGAAGGTCCATATCCCGGAGCCGTTTGGCCAAACCTTCCTCCCTGCAAAGTGGTCTCCCAAAAACGCATATTTCTTTGCCTTTTCAGGTAAGTAGTTCATATCAGATTATCTTTTCGTATCATATTTAACCTGGATGGATAAAAGATGATCAATCAAAATCCATGGGGCATCTAATTAGAGTCTTTCAAGAT